CACAAGGAATTTGACTTGGTGCAAATGCTCTCAGTGTCCATAAAAGAGACATTCATCAAGAGTCAGGAATCATCAGGTACAACACTTAAAGATAGTCATAGGGTATAATAAGCAATCAAATCATATTAAAATAAAATAAATCGTAAGAATACAAGCGACAAAGTTACAGTCATACCGTCACAAGTGGGAGGGGATGGGTGATAAGGAGTGATGAGAAGATTGATAGTAATAGTAGTACAGACTTTGTAAATAGTTGAACAGTGTTGAGGGAATTATTTGTTGGGCAGAGTGATGGAAAAAAACTGTCCTTGTGTCTAGTTGTTCTGGTGTGCAGTGCTCTATAGCGTCGATTTGAGGGTAGGAGTTGACACAGTTTATGTCGGGGACGTGAGGGGTCTGCAGATATTTTCTCAGCCCTCTTTGACTCGGGGTGCATGATCCAGGTCCTCCATGGAAGGCAGGTGGGTAGTAATTATTTTTTCTGCAGTCCTAATTCCTCTCTGGTGTCTGTGTCTGTCCTGTTGGGTTGCAGAACCCAACCAGACAGTTATAGAGGTGCAGATGACAGACTCCATCATTCCTTAGGATCGATTTTCACAGTCTTTACAGCATTCCCAGGGTCACATGATCAAAATTCACACGCTGGACAACTGGTTCATACTTTTGACCGTTGCTGTGTCTAGTCCAGGTATTAGGATGTTTTTGCTTCCAGGAAGCTTCCCTGGGGCCCAGGAAGGCAAAAAATGCAGCAGGGCGGGGCACCTTGCCTGGCCATCCGGCTGCTTCTTCCTGCTTCCTTCTTCTTGTTCTTTTGGCTGCATGCAAGGAAAGCAGCCAAAGTCCTTCTTTCTCTCCCCCAAACTCCGCCAGAAATGAGTCTTGGGGACCCTGCAAGGCCTCCTGCTCCAAGAGGCTGCAAAGACTCATTTCTGGCGGAGTTTGGGGGAGAGAAAGAAAGACTTTGGCGGCTTCTGCTGCTTTCCTTGCATGAAGCCAAAAGTCTCTCTCTCTCTCTTCCCCTGAGAACGGAGCTGGAGACGGTATCCTGCGATCCCAAATGAAGAACGATCGACCGGTAGGAAAAATGGGGTGGGGGATTTTTCCTGCAGACTTTTTTGGGGGGATTTTCCCAGGGTCTCTGTTCCGCGGGATTTAAAATTATCAATTTGGTGGTTCTCCGAGGTCCAAAAGGTTTGGGGACCCCTCTGCTTAGACCGCAAGGGAACTGGGCCTGCCTCGAACGAATGGGCAATTTTTCTTTTTTTTCTCCGTTGCCGGAGTGTCCTGGGAAGGTGTGATTTTTCTCACCGTTCCAGATTACATTGAAGGGAAGAAACAAAAGCTCTTAATGGGGTGGACTGGCACTCTGCCCACTTCCAAAGTTGCGGCAGGCTGGTTTAGCAATCGGATACCCGGGTAGCTCAGTTGGCTGTGTAAAGCTGTTTTCCTGGTGCCAGGAACTCCACCTGCAGGCTGCCTGCTTGATGGACGGAGGTGAGAATTGATGTTATCTCAAACAGGGCCAGTCTTGCTGGGTGGCCTGTCTCTCTTCTTCTTGGTCTCAGTCCCCGCTCAATTAAAACTGCGGGGCAAACATTTGACGTGGGCTTGGCCGGTGGCCTTTGTCCCAAATTGCAAGTTTTTACAAGGAGGGCAGAGTTAGAAGCAAACTTGGAGGCCTTTCAATCCAGCCACCTTCTCGGGCAGCCATCGGCTATCCAATCTTGAAAACCTCCCGTGTTGGAACAGCCACGGCTTCTATTGGTTTCATTGTTCTCACATTTAGGAAGTTTCTCCTAAGATATTGGAGGTGGTGACCCTTTGAGAGCTGTTATGCAACGAAATTTCATTTTAATGTATGCCGATTAGTGTACATTCAAAGAGACAATAAAGTTATTCTTTCTGCCTGCCTGCCTGCCTGCCTGCCTGCCTGCCTGTCTTTTGGTCCGTCCGTCCGTCCATCCATCCATCCATCCATCCATCCCTCCCATCCCATCTCATCTCATCGTCTCATCTAGAGTATCCGGATAGATAAATAGATAAATAGACAGACAGACAAACAGACAGACAGATAGATATAGATGGATGGATGGATGGATGGATGGATGGATGGATAGATAGATAGATAGATAGATGAAGATGAAAGAGATACAATGAGAAAGAGAGATGATAGATAGAGATAAATAGATACAGAACTATCTATCTGTATCATCTCTGTCTCTGTTGTGGTTTGCCGGCAGCAATCAGGAGGACATTCCCGAGAAGCCTGTGCTGGGTGTGAGTGAGAACAGGATGATTCATGGAAGAGCAGCACAGGTAACTTGGGAGTAAGAATGCTAATTAACAGCTCCTCCCTCTAGGGAATATAAGCCTGGTTTCAAATGGCTTTTGCCTTTACAAAAGGCAAAAGTTCGAAGGAGTTAGTGTGAGGATTACAAACTCTGATTTATTGGACTAATTGGCTGCAAGCCATCTGTTATCTACAAAGAGGGTTATTTGTGGAATAAAGCCGTGAATGTTTCAGTTTTGGAGTATATCTGTGTTTGCTTTTGGAAACTTCGGCTGGGTCAGAACACTCATCTATCTATCTCGTCTAGACAGATGAAACATGAGACAGATCTATATATAATCTAGATAGATAGATAGTCTAGACTCTAGATTATCTGTATGTATGTATGTATGTATATATGTATGTATATGTATATATATATATATATGTATATATATCATCTCTGTCTCATGTCTAAACTAGATAGATAGATAGATAGATAGATAGATAGATAGATAGATAGATAG